GGGGGTACCCCCCGGCCCCCACCGCTGCCGCCTCTCCGGCTCGCTGCTGGCCCACGAGAGTGCCTGGCCGCACCCCGAAACCGGGGCGCGCTGCCCAGCCACTTCAGCACAGGAGTTTTGGGGCTGGCTCCCCCTTTCCTGGTGAGGCACTGGGAATTTCTGGTGGGAGTCGGGCTTATGCAGGGTGCTGTGAATTGCGGCTATTAGGGAGGAAATAAGAAATGGCACTTGGCAGTGCTCTCCATACAGAATTTGCTAAAAATACAGTATCTGCGAAAATAAATGCTGAACACTTACTCTCCCTTTAAAGCCTCCCCTTTTTTTTTCTGCCCCGCTGTCCTGTTCGTTTAACTAACCTGCTTTCTCTTGCTGCCTTTAGAGCATACCACTGGACGATAAACCAGATCGAGTGTCTTGGACTGAAATGGGACAGGGTACCAATGAAGGAAAGCGAAGAAGAGAGCTGGAAGCAGCTTGGTTTTCTCCAAGCCTGTTGAGGCTGCTGAGCAAAGAGCCCTGAGCTTTGCCTGAGATGCATTTAAAGAAAAACCAAAGACTTTCATAAAGGACTTCTAGCGAAGCATCCACGTGTTTTGAGTGGCACAGCTTTGTGAACAATTATCTTCTATTTATGAGACGCAAGGAAGATTCAACACTGACTGGTGGTGTTAAACACAATTTAAATTATTTGTAGTATCTATATTTGTATTTATTTTGATGAATGTCTTTCAGCAGTTACTGGTCTTAATATTGCTTTTGCATTAATATGTCCATTCCAAATAAATTACTTGAAATGTTCACTTTTTATTACTATAGTCTGAGCTGCAGTAACTTTTGTTGACATGTTTGTGGAGCGGGCAGTGGTGTAGTGGCTTAAAAAGAGTGGGTAAGCTCAGCTTTTTGGTGCCCTGGGGGGCAGTGGGAGGTGGAGAAAGCCCAGATAACCCATTTGCGTTTGACCTCATCTCCTGACCAGGAAGGGAAAGTGTGTTGAGGTCCAATTCTGGTCAGTGGTGGAAATAGAAAAGCCTACCACAACTTGGGTAAGTGCTGCTTTTGAAGCGCTTTCCCATGTAATTGAATAATGGTGGCTACAGAAGGCACAAGAGCTCCCTCCGACAATAAAATGCCGCTGTCTGCTAACACCTTGCGTCCTTCCCCTGGCCCCCATACCTTAGTGCTGTGCTAAGGCAGAAAACTGGATTCTTGATTTTGGAATAACAGTGCCGATGCTCCATGGGACTCCTCAGCTTTGCCACAAAGCAAGCTGAACTCACCGTCTCCTCTTCCTCTACCTCCGCAGTCTCTAGATCGAGTTAAATTTCTACAGGATAAATGGGAAGAACGGAGACAGTCTTATTCCAATAGCACCCGGACCAAGAAGCTTGGAGAAAAGAGCAGCTAATTTTTTTGTATAAAACTACTGAAGTTTTATTTTGTGAGGCTCAATTATCACTAACTAACTTGAGCTTCCTCGAGAGCAATGCTGCAGCACATGAGTCAGCTCCAGCAGTCAGGACTATGAGCTTAGAAGGCAAAGTACTCGCTACTAATGCTCCAAATTTGGTAATTTCAATCAGGTAATTTCCTTCTCCCAATATCAGTGCAATTCTTGCAGGAGACTTCGTACTAGAGGAAGTTGCAAAGTATGTAATTACAAGCAGCCTGTAGTAAGAGCAAGAGAGACTCAGTACAGGGGGGAAAAAAAAACCCCAACCCTGGAAGGAGGGTTGGCCCCAGTTTCTGGAAGCAGCAGGGAGACTCTGGCACTGCAGCGTGCTAGTCCTGCATCGGGGCTTTGCATCCTCCTTGCACGCTGCTGGCAGCTATGCTGCCGCCCGCCGGGCTCGTGCAGAGGCAGGGTGGCACACGATTGAGCTGTGGATGTAGCAAACATTTGGCCACAGTGTTCAAAAACCTTTGGCCTCGATTCCCCTCTAGCACAAGAATGCCAGAGGTGCATTTAATGCAGCAAAATGACACTCAAAAGCAGATGTGTTTTACCCTGATTTTCCTTGGTACCATTGCAGGGGGGTGAAATAAAAGGCCAAACCAGAGTAGAGACACTGGCTCCTAATCCTCTTAGTTTCGGTGAATCCAAGCAGGAATGCTGCCTGACAACAGCTGAGGATCTGGAGCTATTGCCTGCAATGACAGCCGCTGCTGCGGGGAGAAACCCGATAGCTCCCAGGGTCTTGGAGCCGCCAGCTGCTCCAGCACGGCTCCAAGGCCTTTGCAAACCAATCTGTCCCTTACTCCAGATGCAAATGTTGACAAAAGGCAAGGTATTGTTCAAATGGTTTTATTCCAGGTTTATGGAATAAAAAATAAAACTCAAGAACATCTCTATTTCTATGGAAAAAGTAAGGGGGTTACTTTCTTGCAGCTGAATTATTGGCTTTTCATCTCTCTCAGCGGGATTTTACTCTTTAAGAGGTAAACAAACAAACCTATATTGACAATTAGCTGTAAATAGCCGAAGGAGGAGACTCCAAATTGTTTGTATAAAACTCCGCCGATGGTGGGGCCCACTGTCCGGGTCAAGGGCTGCACTGAGGCGCAAATCCCGAGCATGGTACCTAGGAGAGATGGCAGAGACATGCAGGTGTCAGGGTGAGGGCAAATCTTGGGATGGGAAAACAGAGAAGAGTGTGTGGAAGCCTCTTCGTCCCTGATGGCATTCCCCTGCAGTAGTAGCAAATCACGTCAAATAATCTCTTGCATTAATTTATAGAGGTCCAATTAGGGTTCGTTAAGGCTAAGGACTCTTGGAGGCATGGGGACTAGTTTCCACCACGAGCCAGTTCAGCTCTTTACTGAGTGGTCCAGATGACCATAATGCTGCCTGAAAGGCAAGCTGGTGCTCACCGCTGCATTCACTGGGGTCCAAGGATGACTTTGGTCCCAGAAGATGCTTCTGAACGTTGCACTCAACAGGGCTGGTAACTACTGCATGGGGTTAGGGATGGAGAGATAATTTCTAGGGTCGTGTTCAAGACTTCCAAGCAAATCACAGATTCTTCCAATATCAGTTACCTGAGAGGGCTCTGTTCCACCCACGCTGCTATTGCCATTTCTTCTCTAGTGGGGGACAGAGGAACAGCTCTCAAGGGCTTAGCAGGAGTGAGAGGCTTAGGTCTAGCTAGGTCTCTAAGAATAAATAAATAAAACCACAGATAAAGACTGAACCCCCTTGAGATAGTCCCCCACCCCCCTTGCAAAAAGAACGGATATTTCAATTTGGATGGAAATGCAAGCCCTTCACCCGGCTGGGCCAGTTCCCCCTCCAGCAGCTCTCCCATTTGCATCGTTAACAGGAACCTGGCGGACAGGGAAGCACCTCCAGTTTAGCAAAGGCAGTTTTTTTCCTACGTACAGCTGGACAGCCAGGATGTCCCATGGGACACAAAGATGGCCCCCCATGCACCCGGCGTGCTCTTTGCTCTGCGGTCTTCGTGCAGGATAGCTATCACACTCAGGGGAGCAGAAAATACCCGGCTGGCCAGAAAATCATTAGCCCCCAACACTGGGAAGAAGGGCAAGCTGGCAGCATATGCAAGAAACTTGTGCCCCGCTCTGAAATGATGTTTGCAATTATTTTTTTTAATATCGGTATGATTATTTGGGCTGTTGGCACCAATTTTCCACCAAGACATGCATTGAGGCATCGCTGCTGCACAAGGCCAGCAGTGTCTGGGAAGAGGAGGATGCTGTCCCGCATGCAAGAAGATGTGGAGCCGAGTGTGATATTTAACGTGGGCAGCCACAGGGAAACGATCCCTGGCTCCAGGAGAAAAGAGGCAGCCAGGTGTTCGCGTAATGCCGGCCAGCGACTGCTGGGCTTCTATCAGCATGCTTAAAATACTTGTGCAATGAGCCTGAGCCAAGGGTGTAGCTGTGTGGAGAGGGAAGTCTCCCGGGAAGCGCTGCCGAGCGCTCCTCCCGCGCATGGGAACACAAAGGCGTTGGGTGGGACCTCGCCTTGACCCTTTGCCAATGGGAACCATCCCACAACCACCAAAATTTCTGGGCAGGTTTTGCAATTATTTTTTCCCCTCTAGGTATTTGAATTAAACTAATTACTACGTACAATTGCCAAACTGGCTCTTATGATTGAGGAGGTGCTTTTTTTCCTTTCCTTTTTTTTTTTTCTGGAGCAGAAATCCATCCTCTTAAAAGGCCAGGCTCTCCCTCTGCACTTCTGTAACATGTTGCTGAGAAAGATAATTTCTATTTAATGGGCTTAAATTAGATCCCTCATGTCAGACGCCCTCGAGTTTTGAGACATTGTAAATCTCGGCTCTGCAGCGTGGCCCTAGCTCTGTTGCAAAGCTGTGCATGTGATGGCTCTCATTTAAGGCAAGACCTTTAACTGGGACAAGTCACCACATCAGCAGAAAAATTCTTGCGTCGCTTTGTGCAGCTCTGCCAACGCACATGCTTACCTTCTTCATCACGGCTATCCCACTTTCTGAAGCTTCCCTGCCAATTTTTCTCCCTTCCCAGCTTTTTTCCGCCTTTTCCCATACCTGGCATGACCTGTCTCGGCTGGGCGCCCATCCTCCCCTCCTGCCCCAGCCCTCCTCTCCTCCCACAGGTTTCAGGTTTGGGTGCTGTAGGCTCCCCAAGCCGTGTGGCTCCGTCCCTTCTCCCAGCCTCTGCTGCGCTGGAGCACCCCGGCTTGCCTTCCTTTCCAGCTCACATCCTGTTGCCACACTCAGATGATGGTGCTGGCCCAGATCAGCCACACGCCTGCGGGGCAATCGCAGGGCCTAATTTAACAATTAGGTCATCGCTACCAGCGGCCGCCTTCAAACCAGCAAAGCCCAAGCAAAGCTGGGGGGGTTCAATGCGCTGAGCCCTGCCTGTCTGCAAGCTCTCCTCCCAAGGTTTGGTGTCTGACATGCAAATAAAATCACAAAACGTGGGTCCGTTACTCAGGGAGGCTCTGTTGGGCTTCCTCCCTCCCTGGCCCAAGGGCGGGGGGCTCTGTGCAGAAACAAGACCTCCATTCTCGGGGAGGGACTGGGGTTGACAAGGAGTGCTTGTACAGATGCAAGTCCCCTTGGGCTCGGGACTGCCTTCCCACCAGCTCGCACGCCCAGCTGAACAGCACGTGCACGTGGGGCAGAATTTTCCCTTCCTGCCTTTGAAGATGAGGAGAGGGAAAAAAAATATCAAAGGGAAATGCATGAAATAATTTCCGCTCTCTTGCCTTCAGTGCAAAGCCCCAGCCATAAGCAAAGGGCAAGTGGCAAACTCATCAGCCTTGGTAGGAAGTGACCTTGGTCGGTCCTGAAAGCAGGATGATGGGTGCAAGGGATGGTGCCATCCTACATCCCACTGTTCCCTTTCTGAGACACCTATTTAAAAGGCAAGGAGAGTGACTCAGTGTCTAGCAAGGGTGGACAGGTTATCCTCCTGCAATGCCCCATCCGTTCCAGCCCCGCAATGAGACGGACACCTGAGCTCAGCCCAACCTCCAGCTCTTCGGAAAGCCTCTCCCTGGCCCAAAGAAAA